CAAACAAGGCCACCCTGAGTTATTGCTGCTATCGGTTGCCAAGTGTTGTCTGTTCTTTCAAGAAGAACGCTGAGCGAATGGGTCATTATAGCTAAGGTACATCAGGACTACAGTACGTTAATTATCTGATTCACAACACTCTTGCGACTTAGTAATTAATGCCAAAAAAAACAACAACAACAACACACAAACAAACAAGCAAACAAAAAACAAAACAAAACATAAAATATCACAAGTTAATTATCGAATAAAGTGGTTTGTTGTACCAGTAAGGGTATAAATTCAGCCACAACCTCAAGTAAATAATGACAATTCATCAGTAAGACCGACAAACGCCGGCTCAAAAGTAAACAAACAATCACACATGAATAAACAAGTGAAGGAGATGGACGTCAACATAAACCAAAATGTACGAAACGTTAGGTGTATTGTAATTCAAAATGAACTAAGTCTGAATTTCAATTACTCTTTCTCTTGAGCTAAGGTGATGAATTTGAAACGAGATACAAAAGGCAACTAAAGGTAAAGTTATAATTTGAGCTATGAAGACATTCTGCTTTCGTCATTTGCTTACACTGCTAAATTCGAGCCCATTGAGGAAGGCAAGCGGCTGCTGAAAAGCAAAAAATGACAGAAATTCGACAAGGTTTGCGATTTTTGCAGGCGCTACGACAGCAATGCCGACAGTTTAACAATGGTTTATTATAGCAGATGCACAAGTGCTCTTCATGTTGGAATAGCTAACACATCCCTCAGGAGAACAGTTACGTCGATACTGAGCTCTGAAATACTTGAGAGAGAAGCAAATTCCAACATCTTACCACTGTCATCTTCCATTAAATGTCCACGAGAAATTCTACCGGTCCGCTACTGTTTCTGTCACCAGCATCGCCCATATCAGGTGATGGATCTTCGCCCTTGTCAGGGGATGAATCTTTGTCGGGGGACGAGTTTCCGTCATTATTTGATTCGTCTTCCTTCTCTTCATCTGTCTTGACTGGTCCGCGAAGGAATTGACTTATTTCTGCATATTCTGTTTTCTCGTATTCAGGAGGCATTGTAACCGGTGTGGTTGGAGGGGCGGGTGCCTTCTGATAAAATTCCCCAAGATCAGCGTACATCCCTTCACCAGGTTGCGCTTTCTGTAGATAAAACAGAGTTGGACTAATATGACCCCTGACGGCCATCTTTGGCTAAAAGGTTTTCGCAACATGCGAGGTCCAGCTATAGCGATCAGTGATTCTAAAGTTTTCTGGGTCTAGTAGGTCTTCCTCTTACCCTGGGACTAAATAGAGGAGTAACCAAAAAAAAGGTCAAGGGTGCGATTCTTCTCTATCTTGAGCTCGAGCTACATGAATATATCTTCCTTCTTCATCTTCCAACTTTTCTGTAGTCTACTCCTTTCCTAATTATAAACTGTGACCACTTGCACTATTTAACGACAATTCTCACTTCCCTGCAGAATTTGGAAGGGTAAAAATAAACAGAGCCTTTGGCAATGAGTGATTCTTTGATATAATTGAGTGCCAATCCAAAATTGTGATCTACCTGCTCTGAAATAACCCCAAAACGCCAAAAGCAAGCGGGCTTTAACTTTAATGCTCTTTATTTCGATCCTACGACACCAACCTAAAAACTCAAAAGGTCACCAGTAAATGTAATATGTTTTTGACGGAAATCAAGTAAGAACACAAATGAAAATGAACAATGTATGAAAACGCATGGTTTTATTCGATTCTTTGGCGGATAGTTATGTTGCACTTCAAGACTTCACAATTAGCTGATGACTCTCTACTGCAATTAGTATTTATCAATATATTGAGGCAGCAAACTGAAAGAAACAACAGTTTATTTCACGTAGGCCCTGAATAAAATCTGAATCCGACAATAGTACTTAAAATGTAATATTCAGCATTTTTTAGTAAATAGGCAGTGCACTTTTCTGAATTTAGATTTTTGACCTTTAGTACTAAAAAAAATTATTTTCATAACTTTAATCGAATTTTTAAAAACTATTGCTAATCTAATAGTTCAAAACTTAAGTTAGAGCTGTTACATGTTATCTTCATTCTTGTTCAACAATTTTCTTTAAGTAGTGACGGAAGTTATATCATGAGTGGATAACAAATCTTGAATCTTGTCGAGTGGCATTGTGAACACAAGATGAATTGCTCCCTATGTGCTGGCTCTGAAACTCGTCTTCTTTCTGTGTTGTGCATTACGAAAAGAACAGGTCCTCCAGCTTTTGGAATAGAAAGAACTGAGCTCCAATCTGGCATTTTATCTTCAGAAATGTGTGCTTAGGGGCTTTGAGTCACACATTTTGGACTGCTTCGGTGATTGTCATCCTCTTAATTCCAATAAGCCATTATTGTGCCTTGGTATCCAGCTGATTATTGCTTGGATGCGAAGACTGGGTTCAATTCAGTAAAAAGTTTCTTACTTGATTGGGAATAGGCGATCCTGACCACAGAAGCGTTAGTCTTGGGCATATCTTATTATCTAAAGATGGCTACTATCAGTAGCCATTTTAAGTTTTCAAAGTCAGCGTGAAGTTTAGTTAACATTAAAAGGCATTCACGAGGATTGTAATATGCGGTTGCACAACGTTGATTCATTCATTGATTATTGATTGCTTAAATTTTCCGGACACGACAACTTTTCCAGGCTT